CCTTTTGCTTACACTCCTTTTGAATCTTGCCTTCAAAAGTACTCTTGCATCCTCGTTACCAATTAAATTAGCGATTCGTTACTTAAAAAAAAAAAGGAACCGTAATGGTGACTTGTTACAGTCATGTGTGGCTTGCGGCATGTAAGGTCCAAGCGCTTTTAAAAGGCAGGAGCCGAGGGGAAGAGAAAAGAAAAATTAAACACTAAAGGGAGTTAAGCTTGTTTGGCATCAATCAGGCTTATTATTTGGCTGCTTCTTTGATCTGGACATCTCAATTTGGAGTAAATGGAGGCCACCCTAAGGCAATTTGCTGCCCAAGGCACCTGAGGAGATGATGCCTCTTATTTGTGAAAGGCATTGACCCGATGGATAGCTGAATCCTGCTGAAATGTTAAAGGTAGAACAAGGTCTTCAACACACTCAAAGGCAGAAGGCTGGTTTAAGGGGCCAAGAGCACGTACTCCCCAAACACCTCACCATTGTTACTCCTCTCCTCCTCCTATCCACCCCCAAGGCATCTGCGGACTGAGGCTGCCCTCCTCGCCCAAACACATCCTCTGCCTCATGGCTGGGCCAGCTGGCCTTTGGTGGGGCTTCCTTGGGAGGTCAAGGAGGTCTTGATCTAAGGAGGTTCTTCTCTGTCCGTCAGCCGATAAACATGAGAGTCTTTCCCACTGAAAAAGGAGAGCGCGCAGGGCCAGAGGTTGGGAGTTTGGTTCCTAGGCATGTTGGCAAAACTCTGGGTCTTGAGTCCCAAGTCTGAATCGGAGTCTTTGGTACCAAGTACCAAGTCCTATTAAAAACAAGCTTTTTTTTTCCCCCAGAAGAAAAGGGAGGAGTGGGTGGGTTCCAAGCCATGAGTCAAGTCTGAGTCATTCAACAACAACAACAACAACGAGTCAAATCTGAGTCAAGTCACTGGTGTGATGTAAGTCCCAACTTGACAGCAACTCCCACAATGCAAGTCCTCATCTCTGTTGATTACCCCACTGTGCCTCCCTAACAGGGACCCTACAGTCCCTTCCAGCCCAGCAGTTCTAAATATGATGATGATGATGAAGAAGAAGAAGAAGAAGAAGGTGACTTCCAGATGGGGTGTCCCTTTTCCTTTTCAACAGTGTCGACAAAACTTTATTTCTACATTAACCGCAAGCAAACCTGACGTTGCTTGACGCTACGGCGGCCCGCGGGCTTGTTAAAAGGATTTATGGAAGAACGATGCCTTTAATTTCCCTTGATAAAGTTATAATCAGAACAGGTTTGGAATACCAATCTTTCCAGCAGTGAGGGTTCTTCCCCTACGGGTTTTCCCGTCTCCTGCTCGTAATCCTACAACTCGAAGGAGTGGCCCTGGTGGAAACCAAATGGTGGAGGAGGCTCTGGGGAGGTAAAAGCTAAGCGATTCCCTGCAGAGCGCAGCCTTAAAGTGCAGAATAGCAAAAGGGGCGATCCATCACTATAAGATCCCTCTCGGCCCACTTCGGCCCCTCCCTCATTCCAAAATCTACAGGTCTTTCTTGTTGTTGAATTATTGACCTAAGCGGGTTGCTGCTTGGGGCCTCGGCAAAGCTGACAAGACCTCGGCATAACTCTAGACCACAGCGAGCACGACAATATATAGAGGCATGCAGCAGAATGTGATACACCACAGTTTAAGGGGCAAAATTAATTCTGCGGCATTTTCCTCTGGACTGCAAAAACTTCCGGCTTCCTCTTCCCCGACACAGTTATTGATGCCGAGGCAGCTCATGAAGGGTGAAATATAAGCCCCCGATTACATCACGGCCAAGACGTATGACTCACTCTTTTATGCTTCTTCCATGCAGCAGCCCTGCTATTTGTCAGATCTATTGCAGAGAGTACAAATCGGCCCCATATATTGCAAATACATTTATAAAGCGCCTCAGTGATCATAGCCATATGTACACAATTGCCAGTAATCAAGCCATTTCGAAGTCACTTTTGGAAAGGAAATTTCAAGCCGCTGTTGATATTTCTGCTGTAACTCCCCTCCGCCTTTGGCAGATCCTTCACGAAAGGCCATCTGGAAAGGCCATATAGCTTGCAAGATTGCAATAACCCGAGGCAAACGGGCCACCGGGTCCCACTCAGACTGCATTTGCTTCCTCGTTTTCTTTTTAATTTGGATTCACCTTGACTCTCGAAGTGTTTTCCAGCTCAAATGCTTGTTTGTGGAGGCCCAGATGGACATTAACCAGGTGGTTGGCTTGTAGTCACGTACATATGTCTTCGGGGGTGGCCCTCTCTAGCAGATGCTAGAAGAGGGGACAGAGCAGCCGCTGCCGAAAACCGTTCTCCCTTGCTTACTCTATAAAGCTGGTTCCTACAGGGATGACTTGAGATATTTTACTGCCCAAGGCGATGGTTGAGAAGATGTCCACCACGTCCACAGTCCAGTTCCCTTCTGGAATGGGTGGGTGCCTTCGATGAGAAGACACCCACCCATTCCAGAAGGAAACTGAGCTTGTGTCTGAATTTTACTTCACAGGTACTGAGGCCGCACCATTGCACCGGAGGGGGGCATGTTTAGTTCAGCCACGCCAAAGAGGTCACATAGGCAGAGGGTTCAGGAGAAATGAGTCTGTGCCAGATGAGGCCACTACTCTAGTGTGCCTAATGGCAGCACCGGCTTTGCATGCATGATGCGCCTCTACACTAGCCTGCCTCTTTAGGTTTTCGTGCAGGCTGGTGCAGAGAGGCATCATAAACGCAGAGCCAGTCCTGGTGTTAGGCATGGGAGAACATTGGCCTCAGCTAGCACAGACTCATTTCTGTCTTGTCACTAATTAAGGATTTAAAGGCCAGTCACAAGCGTCTGTTTAACTGGAAAAGGCATCATTTCATCAGATTGTTACATGACAGCTGAGATCTAATGGAATTTCTATGTTTCACTGCATCTCTAGGTAGGAAGTCACTTCTCAGGGTGAACAACAGCACTGGGCATTTTAAATGTCTAAGGAGAATATCCTTTCTTTTCTGGCAGAACCTCTCCAGAGCTTCAGGCAAGGACCATGTTTTACAAAGATTCTTTAAATTAGTGATGGCAAGCCTTGAACCCAGAACCTTTTGGTTTAAATAAACAAATAACCCTTCACTGATTGCTGCCTTGTCGTGGCGAAGGGGTTGAGTAATTGAGAGAAGCTATGGGCTATGCCATGCAGGGACACCCAAGATGGACAGGTCATAGTGGAGAGTTCGGACTCAACGTGATCCACCTGGAGCAGGAACTGGCAAGCCACTCCAGTATCTTTGCCAAGAAAACTCCATGGACAAAAGGCTAAAAGATAAGATGCTGGAAGATGAGCCCCTAAGGTCAGAAGGCATCCAACATGCTACTGAGAAAGAGCGGAGGGCAAGGACAAGTAGCTCCAGAGGTAATGAAGTGGTTGGGCCAAAGCCGAAAGGACGCTCAGCTGCGGATGCGCCTGGGAGTGAAAGGACACTTCCTGCTCCTCCGACTCCAACTGAGGCTTCATCTGGGTTCAGGTTTGATGTTGTCCATCACAGTCAATCAACAAAAACAGGAGGGATCTGATTCACCCCTTGGCACACAAAGGTCAAGAGCAGACCTTTGGTCTAGATGGGCAGGGTAGAAATCTAATAAAATAAATAAAAATAAATAAAGCCCTGTCCTTTCACTGCCCTCGGACCAAGACCCCAAGACTGTTTTCTCACCCCCTTGGGTTGCTCGCTTTCCTCCCCCTCCCCCCCCCCAAGGGATTTCTCTTCTTTTCTATCCTGGAGAGAAGGACCAGGAGAGGAAAGAGAGAGAGAGAGAGAGAGAGATTGAGAGAGAGAGAGAACCCAGCCAGACAACTGACAAGAAGACACTACACAAAACGTTTCGGTTTATAACACTTTTCATGTGACATTTATTGCTTTCTTTCAGAAGACAGCAAACAACAAAGACACCCAGAGGACCCTTCCCTTCTGTCCAAACTCCCTCACACATAAAGGACTCTTCCCTGATCTTTGATCATGTCTGTCGGTCAGAGCGACGGGAGCAACATTGCAGCGCTGATCAAAGCCCACGCTCTCTTTCCTGGCCGTCCCTCTTAATAGGCAGCGAAGCCCCTTCTGGGCAAGCCGGGGTCAGAGTCCATCTGTTGCCACGCGGGAGGGAATGCTTCTTTCCCCGTGTGTCCAGTTTTGCCCATTGGCCACAGACTTGGCTTGAGCCAACCAGCTTCCCCTCTTCTGGTCTGGAAACAAGTCCCAATTTCGCATGTCCTCTTCCAGCGGCAGCTCCTTCCGAATGGGGAAATGGGTACGTCTTGCTCCCCTCTGCAGATTTGCCTAGGCTCACCATCCCGTCTCTCTTTGCAAGTCTCTACCCTCTTTGTTCCAGGCCTGGGGGGGGGGGGCCGGGCTTTCTGGAA